ATGAAAAATATTGTGAACATTGTAAAAAAAGTGGTATTTTTGTTTAATATTTGCAATGTTTTTCAAGTAAAATTTTTTTGTTATTTTTTTATTAAAATATCTATGGTTCAACAAATTTTCATCTAAATTTTTAACTTTTTAATCTGAATTTTCAGAAAAATGCTGGGTACGCATATAGATCGGTTAAGTTATTCTAGTGAAACAAGTGCAAGTTTTAAGCGGCGTTGATTTTTAATGAATTTATATTTCCGACGGATTTTGCGGTTTTCTGCATATAACAAGTGCAATTTATGAAATATAGCGTTAATTTAAACTTGCTTTACTAGAATTACTTACACTTTACACTTTAGAAACTTACACTTGTTTTTCTAGAATTACTTACCCGATCTGTCTGCCAGCTCAAAATTTTTCTAAAAATTCAGATTAAAAAGTTCAAAATTTAGACGAAAATTCATTGAATTTTTCTAAGGTCTGCATAAAGTTTGAAAGTTTGACTTATGTGGTTTTGACGAAAGCATGAACCATAATGTAATAAAAACATAACAAAAAAAAATTTACTTGAAAAACATTGCAAATTTTAAACAAAAAACTCCATGCTCTCACGAATTTTCATTTAAGATATACTTTGATCAACAACAGAAACAACATAAATAAGGGTTTCAAAAATTGCACAAGGTTCACAAAAATGAATCAAATTTAAAAAAAATTTAATCAAAATTTCAAACTTTTGGTTCAGAATTTTGAGAAAATTTTCGAGTTTGAAGTTTGGTTTATTTTTGTGAACTTGGTGCAATTTTTGAAACCCTTATTTATGTTGTTTCTATTGTTGATCAAACTATATCTTAAATGAAAACTCGTAAAAAGAAATAAATAAACGTAAGTGGCAAATGATATCATTTAATATAAAAAAGCTGAAGTTGAATATTGTCTAAGACATACAATACAGAATGATTTCAAAACTATTTTGAAAAGAATTTAACTAACAAAAAAAACCAATTTCATTTTACATACTTACACATAAATATCCTTATCATTCATATGTTTAAAAAGAAAATGAATTCAATTAAAAATTTGTACTTTTAATTACACATAAGAAATTGATTTAATTCAAAAGGCACATGAAGAAAATTCATCAAGATTTCTTAAAGTTAAAACTTGGGAAAAAATAAAAAAAATTGATTAAATTAAAATGGCACACGAAGAAAATTCACTAAAATGTCTTAAATCTATTTATTGTTGTTTTGAGATCATTGCCAGTAATTCGAGTTTGGCGCATTACTGTGGGCTGTGAAAAGAAGTGTAAATTTTTTTTAATTATCTTATTGTTATCGCTTTCTATAGCTTCCTGCATTTACCTTGCAAACTCCTTCTGGTAGTTTAGTACAACCTCATTAATTGCAATCTTAAAACGTTTTGACAACTGAATGTTTTCGGCTGCGAATTCACGGCCATTTGATGCCACGAAATTGCCCATATCATCCCAAGGATCGCTTTTTGCAGCAGAATTCATCGTTTGCAAAGCGCTCTCAACAACCTTTGCATACTCGGAATCTTCTTGTCGTTGGCGCTTTGTCGAGGCTTTTGCTGACTTAGGTTGCACGATTTCTTCTTCGAGAAATTCAGGGTCATAAAGGGATTGCTCTTGCGAAGGTTCATTTATCTTTAAAGTAAAGAAGTTAATAAAATATAATTAAGATTATGTTTACTTCGTAACTAAACTTACATCTATTAAATTTGATGTTGTGGATGCCTCAACACGCAAAGTGGGCTCCAGAAATTTTAAAGCATTGTAAAACGGGTTTGAAGAAACCGTCTTTGTAGCACCCTGTCCGCTCTTACTCGCTCCTATCCTGTTAAACGATGCCTAGATTTGCATAAAATTTAATTAAAACTAATGTCATAAAAACCATAGAAAACGTACGCGGAAACCACAACGCAGGCTATTCCACTTTGTTGTAACTTCTGCTCGTGGTAACTCCAATACGTCGGCCACCTCTTGCCACAGAGCTTCTCTAAGGTTTCGGTCCCTGTACTCTTTGACCAAATAGTTCCAGGTGCCTTCCCTGATCTCGACTGCCTCAATAAGCTTCATGGTTTCTTGGTTCGTCCACTGATGCTGCAACTTCCGCACTCTTTTTTTACTTGTGACTTCACTGGGGCTTGATAATATAGGCTCCAATTCCAATGTCTCTATTTCCATCTTAATCTAAATATAAATAACAATTTAAAAACTAAATAAAGATCTTTTTAAGTTCGTACCATTGTTTCTTTCTTTTATGTTACTTCCCGCTCAAAAATCAGCTGTTTCTTTGTCGAATTTGCCAACATGTTGGCAAATGGATTTTTAATGTCAAATGTTGCCATATCAGTAAATTTCCGAAAATGTGACATACGTAAATTTCCTCGCATGACAACCTGTTCTCATTTAATTGACTGCAAATGCCACTTATTTTGACCTAATGAAAACCAAGCTTAATATTTTCTTCGTTTTTTACTTGCCTCATATAATTTGGGTATGGTTAAAATCAGCGCGAAAAGTTCTCTCGATCTGCATTTTTGGGGTTTTTGTTGCTAAACGGTCCGTATTGTATCTAGAATCAGCTGTACGCATGGCAAATGAAATCGAAATTGCCAACATGTTGGCAAATACACTTTGGTTGTCAAATGCTGGCACATCAGCGGCGAGGGCCGTTTTCATTTGGATGTCGTTTTATATGACCGTGCGTGGTGATATATGACAACAAACGCAACTGACATCAGATGACATTATATTATTATATTCATTATTTTGACAATATTTGACGTCAAATGTGACCTAATGAAAACCAGGCTTTATAGGTTTGTATAGTAACTTCTCCAGTAAAACATTGCAGCGAGAGCGTAAAAGCAAAATAGAGCGTAAAATTGATAACAAGAGAAAACTACCAGAAAAAGTTATTGAACGCAAAACTAGTAAAAATTTGCAAGTGAATAGTTGTTGTACCCTTTTCATATTCTGCTGTAAACATTTTACTATTTATAAATCAGTTTTAAACTCTTTGCTTTACACACAAGCACTTACACAGTCTAGTACATCATTAATATTTTGATTTCCACTCATTTTACTTTTGTTTGTGCTAAAGCAATCCAACATATGGCGGCTTTTGACATTTATTCTTCTTCTTCTTCTGCTAGCTAATTTCTGCTAGTAAAAGTTTCACTAGCATGAATATGCAGTTCTCCCGTGTTGTTACGCTCTCGATTCAGTGCTCTCTTGCAAATTGTTTGGTTTATCATACACTTTTCCAGTAAAAATTTGCAGGTTCCAGTACAAATTAGTACTGACTATTAAAACTTAAAAGATATTTCTTCTAAAAATTAAATCATCTAATGATATATTGGCGATCCTGCAATTTTAAAACCTGAAGAAGCTCAAAACTAGAAGAACAGCAANGTTTCACTAGCATGAATATGCAGTTCTCCCGTGTTGTTACGCTCTCGATTCAGTGCTCTCTTGCAAATTGTTTGGTTTATCATACACTTTTCCAGTAAAAATTTGCAGGTTCCAGTACAAATTAGTACTGACTATTAAAACTTAAAAGATATTTCTTCTAAAAATTAAATCATCTAATGATATATTGGCGATCCTGCAATTTTAAAACCTGAAGAAGCTCAAAACTAGAAGAACAGCAATTTTAATGAAATAAATAGCTCAAGATTAGAAGATCAGCCAAGCTACATATTTATCACAGGGTTATAATATATTAAATAAACAAAATATGTATTTATCTATTTGGACGTGTAGCATATGCAGCATCTAATTTGATCACAAATTATTTCAACAAAAGCATAATCTTGCTTACTGAGAAGAATTTAATACAGCCAATAC